ACATAGTGGATGAACAGGTCCCTTCCTCTGTCTTCCCCACCCCCAAGTCAATAAACCTCTTGAAAGCAAAGTTCCCATCCAGTAGTGTTTGTCACACTAGTGGTAATTTGGTGACACTGTTTTGACTAGAGCACCAGGAATGAGTGCTTTGACCATGAGAATTTTCTTAGCTCTAGACTTGGACAACTTCGTAATTGGAAAGATGTTTTAAAAATCCTCCAGACTAACCTCCTTATCTTGCACAAGAGATAATTGAGGAGTGGTGAGGTGAAGGAACTTATTAAGGGTCATGTACCCAGTGTCTGGCACAGGTAGGCACAGAGCCCTATTTGTGCTCGTCCCACTGCCCTGTTCTATTCTGTGAGAAGTGCTCTGGAGAAGACTCTGTGAACTTGCTGTGGCTTAGTTTTAGTCCTTGACCCTTGCCTTCTGCCTCTCAACAATAATTGTAACCCGTAATGACAAATAAAATGTGGTATAAAAATGAAATAGACCCAAAGGAGTAAGTGGAATAAAGGACATACGGTGCCATCTCTTATCTTAAAGCCTTTACCCAGCACACAAACATGAGATGTAGTAGGTATGTGGATGTTTTTGATAAATGGAGAGTTAGACATCATTGTTAATCCTATTAAATATGGTAGGGACAACATGAAATGGCTGTAAAGTCACCTTACCCTGTAAAGTCTCCTTATCCTTTAAGCCTCTGTGGACTTTGATACTTCTGACCTTTCTCCTCCTTACACACTTCTAAGACACAACCCTCTTCAGACCCTCCTCTACAGTTCCTTCATAATCTTTTTAGAGGGTTTATCCTTCTCTGCCACTGTCTTACAAGTTGATGTGTCTCAAGCCTCTTCCAGAGCCAAAGCTCTTCTTTCCCTATGGATTCTCCTTTTATGATCTTATCTGCTTTTATAAATCCAGCTACCACCTGTATGCATGTTGTTGTTGTTGGCTGCCGTTGGGTCAGTCCCCAACTAATGGCTACTCCATTCCCATGATTGGTTACAGATTGGACTGTTGTGATCCCTGGGTTTTTTTCTTGGCTGATTTTCTGTAGTAGATTGCCAGATGGTAAGTCTGGAAGCTCTGCTGAAACCTGTTCATCATCATAGCAGCATGCAGGCCTCCAATGATAGGCAGGTGATAGCTGAGCATGAGGTGCATTGGTCAGGAATCGAACCTGGACCTCCTGCATGGAAGGTGAGAGCTCTGCCACTGAACTACCAATGCCTCACCTATATGCTAATGACTTCTAAGTCTAATTTCAGACTCATACCCAACTGTAGTGGCTACCTCCATTAAGACCCCTCAAACTTCACAGGTCCAAAAGGGAACTTGCCAACCACCCTCACAAAAGAATTTGTTTATTTTTTATCTGTTAACCTTGTGTAGCGATTTATCCAGTGGCCCAAGCTGGAAATCTGAGAGTCATTCTTAACTCTTTATCTCATCTCCTATGTTACTCACAGGCCTAACTGTTTTACTTCCTTCCTCACATCCTACATTTCTCCACTGCCTGGCTAACACTTGTTTGTGTGTGTTGTCCTGTTGATTCTGACTCATAGTGACCCTATGTGACACAGTAGAACTGCCCCCATAGGGTTTCCTAGGCTACATTCTTTACGAGTGCAAATTCCCTGGTCTTTTTGCTTGTTTATCCTGAAAGACTTAGCTGTTAAATCCAATGAAGAACCCCGTAGTTTTTTGGGTACTGTTCCTCTATGTTCCCCAAATTTCTTGCACACTTCTCTCTAATGGCACTTAGTAATAGTACATTGTAACATTCGTTTATGTGTGTCTCACCCACTAGGTTGTAAGCTTCTTTTTTTCTTTTTCTTTTTTTTAAACATTTTATTGTGATTTGGGTGAAAGTTTACAGAGCAAATTCATTTTCCATTCAACAGTTCATACACATTTTGTTTTGTGACATTGATTGCAATCCCCACAGCAGAATCGCTCTATTCTCACTTCCTCCCTGTGCTTACCTTTCCCTCTGCCTTCTTTCCTGTATGCTCCTGCTCTCTGAGCTTTCTCCCTGCGCAAATGCTGCCCTCTGGTTTCCTATGGTTAATTGTTCTAAGGAGTACATGTCCCCGCTGTAATTGTTCACCTCATAGGCCTGTCTATTGTTTGGCTGAAGGTTAAGCCACAGGTGTGAATGCAGTTCTAGGTCTGAAGGTTGACCAGGTCTCAGGGAATTTACCAGTCTCTATCAAGCCAGGTATCCTGGTCTTTTTTGTGATTTTAAGTTTTGTTCCACGTTTTTCTCTCATTCTACCTAGGAGCTCCAATTTTGACCCTTTTCCAAGTGGGTGGCAGCAGTAGCCAGGCACCATCTAGTTCTTCTGGTCTCAGGGTCTTGTAGGCTGAGCTTCCATGGTCCACCAGTCCCTAATTGTTTCCATGTGTCTTTTGGTTTTCTTTACTCTTCTTTGCTCCAGATGAGGAGAGAACAATAGTTGCATCTTAGATGGCTGCTTGTAAGCTTTTAAGATCCTAATAGCTACTCACCAAAGTAGGATGCTGTTGTTGTTAGGTGACCCTATGTGCAACAGAACCAAACACTGCCCAGTCGTGCACCATCCTCACAATCCTTGCTGTAACTGAGCCCATAGTTGCAGCCACTGTGTCTGTCCGTCTCATTCAGGGTCTTCTCCTTTTTCGCTAACTCTCCCTCTGCTTTACCAAGCATGTTATCCTTCTCCAGGGAATGGTCTGTTCTGACAAACAAAGTCTGCCATTCTCGCTTCCAAGGAGCATTCTGGCTGCACTTCTTCCAGGACAGATTTGTTCATTCTTCTGGCAGTCCATAGTACTCAGTATTCTTCACCAGCACAACTCAAAAGCATAACCCTTCTTTGGTCTTCCTTATTCGTTGTCCAGCTTTCATGTGCATATGAGGCTATTGAAAATATCATGGCTTGGGTTAGGTGCACCCTAGTCTGCAAAGACACATCTTTGCTCTTCAGCACTTTAAAAAGGTCATGGTCATTTGTTACAAATTTGCCCAGTGTAATCTTTTGATGTCTTGACTACTGCTTGTACTGGTGTGAATTGTGGAACCAAGTAATATGAAATCATTGATAACTTCAATCTTTTCTCCATTCATCATGATGCTGCTTATTGGTCCAGTTGTGAGGATTTTTTTTTTTTCTTTATGTTGAGGTATAATCTATACTGTAGATGAATGTCTTTAATCTTCATCTTTCAGGACCCTTAACATTAAGTGCTTCAAGTCATCTTCACTTTCAGCAAGCAAGGTTGTGCCGTCTACATATTGCAGGTTGTTAATGAATCTTCCTCCAATCCTGATGCCACATTCTTCTTCATATAGTCCAGCTTCTCAGATTATTTGCTCAGCATACACATTGAATAAATAGATGAAAGGATGTAGAACAATGTTTTTGTGTAATGTTATGCCAGTCAAGCTTGATGTCCCCTGCAAGCATGACCCAAAACCCATAGGCCCAGCAACTTACTTCCTCAGGGCGTTTGGTTGTGGCTAATAAGTTACCATACATTTGCTCCCTGCTGGCTCCACTGTATATGGACATTTTATAGCACCTACATATATGTAGCTCTTACACTCATATGTATGCTTACATATATGTAAGGCACTGTGGTAAGACATTCGGCCATATATATGTATGGCACTGTGGTGTAAGACATTCGGCTGCTAACTAAAAGGTCATCAGTTCAAACCCATCAGCTGTTTCATGGGTGAAAGATGAGGCATTCTCTTTCCGTAAAGATTTACAACCTTGGAAACTCTCTGGGGTCATTCTGAGTCGGAATCAACTTGATGACAGAAAGAGAGAGACAGAAAGAAGAACCTATATATAGTCTTGGATATATTCCGTTTCACCTTCCCATACCTGATCATCTTGCCTGTCTATCTGTGTATCCACCTGTAGATTCATTAAGAGGTGTACCTCTTGTGCACCTCTCCATGTCTTCATTCTCCTAAGTGATATTATGCTGATCACTGCTTTTGATCTATTGCCTTTTCTTTCACCCAAATCAATATGTATCTCTTACCTAGTTAGCAATTTACCCTCTCCTCACCTTGCATCCCTGGTACTCAACAAAGAAAGCTTTCCTTAACTTTTTATAATAGTGGACTCATACAATATTTGTCCGTCTGTGATTGACTTACTTCACCCAGCATAATGTCCTCCAAGTTTATCTATGTTATGAAGTTTAGCAGATTCTTCATTATTCTTTAGTGTTGCATAGTATTCCATTGTGAATATGTACCATGGTTTGGTTATCCATTCATCAGTTGATGGGCACTTAAGCTGGTTCCATCTCTTTACTATCATTGTTGTTGTTGTTGTTATGTACTATCGAGTTGGACCTGACTCACAGTGACCCTTCCTTGGGTGTCCAAGGCAAGGAAGTAGATTGCCCCATCTTCCTTCCGAGGAGTGGCTGGTGGGTTTGAACCGCCAGCCTTCTGGTTAGCAGTCAAGTGCCTTAGGCACTATGCTATCACTATAGAAGTAGATTGCCCCATCTTCCTTCCGAGGAGTGGCTGGTTTGAACCGCCAGCCTTCTTAGCAGTCAAGTAAATGCCTTAAGCACTATGCTATCAGAGCTCCCTTACTATCATTAGTAGGGTTGTGATGAACATAGGTGTGTATTTATCTACTCATGTCCCACTTCTTCAGGATATTTACTTAGTAGTGGGTTTGCTGAATACAGTGGTGTTTCTGTTTCCAACTTTTTAAGGAAGCACTTTATTATTTTCCACAGTGGTTGTACCGTTTTTAGGCTGTATGCTCCTTTCAGGAAAAACTGTCTGACTCATCTTTCCATCCTCAGTGTCTAGCATAGTGCCTGGAGTGTAGAAGATATGCAGTATATATTTGTTAAACAAATGAACATAACACTTAGGAACTCCACTTTGAATAACAGTTATGTCTCCTGAAAGATGTTTGTAGAAACAAGCTTGGATTTGCTGACCATTTCTTTGTCTTTCTCCTTTTTCTTAGATTGATGTGACAGTGTCAGGTGGATCAACGGCCATCCCACTTCCCCCTCAGTGAGGGGGATGCTGAGTGTGGCAAAGCATGGAGGAAAGTAAGAATGAGACAATGAATCAAGCTCACATCCTTTTTGACCGGTTTGTCCAGGCCACCACCTGCAAGGGAACTCTCAAGGCCTTCCAAGAGCTCTGTGACCACCTGGAACTGAAGCCCAAGGACTACCGCTCCTTCTATCATAAGCTCAAGTCTAAGCTTAACTACTGGAAAGCCAAAGCCCTCTGGTCAAAGTTGGACAAACGAGGCAGCCACAAAGACTACAAAAAGGGAAAAGTATGCACTAACACTAAGGTAAGAACTTGGTTGCTTTCAGGTCCTGGCATCTGGAGTCACTGACCTGAGGGTTTAACCAAAGCCAAAGAGAAGGACTGAATATAGAATCAGGCAAATTAAGCTATAACTTAGCATAGGAAGTCAAGGTTGTACCTTACTGAAACTTGGTGGTTCATTACCTGTATTCATTTGACTATTCCATGAGCTAGACCCTATGCTAAGCATACTTCATGAATTTCTCGTTGGTGAGTAAATGTTTCAGTGATTTAAGAACAATCCTGAAATCAAAGGGGATATGATCTTTTTCTTTTGCTAAGGGTCTTTTTAAATAAATAAATAAATAAATAAAAAACTTGCTGTGATCTACTTCTGTAGTGACACTGCTTCAGAAACCCAAGGAGGGGTCGCTATGAGTTGGATCCGACTCAACAGCAGTGAATTTGGTTTGGTTTTTAGATACAGAGCAAATTGTTTTTCCATTCAACAAGTCATACACTTTTTTTTTTTTTTAATTGTGATTTGGGTGAAAGTTTACAGAACAAATTCATTTTCCATACAGCAGTGAATATACATTTTGTTTCATGACATTGACTACAATCCCCATAATATAACAGCTCTCTCCCCACTTCCTCCCTGTAGTTACCTTTTCTCTCTGTCCTTCTTTTCTATGCATTCCTGCCCTCTGAGCTGTCTCCGTGGGAAAATAATGCCCTTGTGATGTCCCATGATTGATTGTTCCAAGGAGTGTATCTACCTGGTGTAAATGTTCATCTTATATGCCTGTCTGTTGTTTGGCTAGAAGCCACAGAATTGAGTTCAGTGTCTGGCCTGAAGGGTGACTAGGGACCATAGTCCAGGGAGTTTCATGAGTCTCTGTCCAACCAGTAAGCCTGGTCTTTTTTATGATTTTGAGTTTTGTTCCATGTTTTTCTCCTACTCTATCCGGGATCTCCTGTACTGATCCCTTTCCAAGTAGTTGACATTGGTAGCTGGGCACCATCTAGTTCTTCTGGTCTCATGGTCATATAGGCTGAAGTTTGTATGGTCCAGTAGTCCCTTGGACTAATTGTTTCCATGTGTCTTTGGTTTTCTTCATTTTTCTTTGCTCTGGATGAGGAGAGACCAATTGTTACATGTAAATGGCTGCTTGTAAGCTTTTAAGACCCCAGTCGCTACTCACCAAAGTAGGGCATACACATTTTTTTTGTGACATTGATTGCAATCCCTGGAATGTAATGACACTCTTCATACTTCCTTTGTATGTTGACTGCTTCCATTTGTCCTTCTTTCCTATTCCTTTCTGCCTTCTGAGCTTTTTCCCTAGGCAAATGCTGCCCTTCTGGCTTTATATGGTTGATAGTTTTGAGGAGGGTGTACCTCCCTGGTGTTACTGTTCACCTTACAGGCCTCTCTATTGTTTGGCTGAAAATTGAGCTGCAGGAGTGATTCAGTTCCAGACCTGAAGAGTGTCATCTGAGGGCCATAGTCTTGAGGTTTCCACCAGTCTCCATCAGACCAGTAAGATTAGTCTTTTTTATGATTTTGACTTTGTTTCACATTTTTCTCCCACTCTATCCATGACCTCCTAATATGATCCCTTTCAGAGCTGTCAGCAGTGGTAGTCAGGCACCATCTAGTTCTTCTGGTCTCAGGGTCTTGGATGCTGGGTTACATGTGGTCTATTAGCCCTTTGGACTAGTTGTTTCTTTGTGTCTTGATTTTCTTCACTCTTCTTTGCTCTAGATGGGGAGAGACCATAGTTACACCTTAGATGGCTGCTCACAGGCTTTTAAGACCCCAGTCACTACTTACCAAAGCAGGATGTAGAATATTAAGACCCCAGTCACTACTCACCAAAGTAGGATGTAGAATATTGTCTTTGTGGACTTGACCTTGATGTGCCCTTAGACTATGGTCCTGAGTCCCAGGACTCATTCGACAAGGTGTTTGGTTATGGGTAAGAAGTTTTTATAACTCTGTCCCCTCTATGCTCTACTATAAAGGCACAGTGCCTAAGGCATTTGACCGCTAAACAGAAGATTGGTCATTCAAACCCATCAGGCACTCCATGGAAGGAAGACAGGACATTCTACTTCTGTAAAGATTTACTGCCTCAGAAACCAAATGGGGGTTGCTATGAGTCATAATTGACTCGATGGCAGTAGGTTTTATGCTCTACTATATTCATAGATATATTTGCAGCACATATAGATACATATGTAAAAGGCTCCTCTTGTCTAGCCTATATGTATTCATTAGTATAGTCTGATTGTCCTTCCCACATCTGTTCAGCTTGTGTATCTATCTGTGTATCCACTTGTAGGCTGTTGTTATTGCTGTTATTGCAATTTTGTATATGTAATAGCATCTACCTTTGTTGCGAGGCTGTATTTTGAATCTCACACTGCTAAGAGGATCCAAATCATTTAGCAAGGAGCACCCAAGCTCAGTTAGCATCCTATCTGAACCTGGCTTCATGATGTGTGGCATGTCATCATTATTCTATACTCAATAACCAAAAAAGTATAGTATTTGCCATTTTGGGGATTTGCCACTGGCCTCAGACCACTTCCCATCCATATCCTAAAAATTTGTTTTGATTCATAAGCAGGTACCTTGTGAACCCAAGTATTTCCATTGCTTTATTATTTATTGATTTATTTTACAATCTAGAGAAATAGCGCTTGCATGATATAGGTAGACCTGGGCAAAGATCTGAGATGTTCAAACACCTGGGCAGAAGTAGGTCTGAGGAAGCAAAGAAGGAAAGATGCCTTTGCTGCTTTCCTCCTTATGTAAGAATGCCTTCTGTGAGAATTTTGGAGAAAGCTACCAGGGAAATGAAGTTGCAGATAACTATGTGATTGTTAATATATCCTTTAAGGGTTTGGTTTATTTTATTTTATTTTAATGCATTTTTTGAAAATATAATTTATGTACAGTGCAATACATAAAACTAAAGTGACATGGGTCAATGCATTGGTTTTTTTGTTTGTTTGTTTACAGTGTTCCCTTCCCTCTCCTCCCAACCCTGGCAACCAACAAAGAAAGTTTCCCTCCATATATAAACCTTTTCTTGATCTTCCACAACAACAAACTAATACTATTATTTGTCCTTCTGTGATTGACTTATTTCATTCAGCATAATGTCCTCCAAGTTCATCCATGTTATGTGATGTTTTGCAGACTCTACATTATTCTTTAGTGCTGCATAGCATTCCATTGTGTGTATGTACCATAGTTTGGTCATCCCTCTTCCATTGATGGACACATAAGTTGTTTCCATCTTTTTGCTATTGTAAATAGTTCTGTGATGAACAAAGGTATACGTATATCTGTTCCTGTCCTGGCTCTCACCTCTCTAGGATTTATACCTAGTAAAGGGATTGCTGGGTCCAGTGGTATCTCAAATTCCAGCTTTCTAAGGAATTGCCATACTGCCTTTCACAATGGTTGTTTCACTTCACAGTCCCACCAGCAGTGTATGAGAGTCCCAATCTCTCCACATCCCTGCCAGCATTTGTTATCTTCTGTCTCATTGAACCTTGCCATCAGTGCTGGAGTGAGATGGTATCTCATTATTATTTTGATTTGCATCTCTCTGATGGCCAGTGATCATGAGCCTCTCTTCATGTATTTGCTGGCCACCTGAATATCCTCCTTGTTGAAGTGTCTATTCATGTCTTCTGCCCGTTTTTCAACTGGATTGTTAATCCCTTTGCTGTTGAGGTGTTGGAGTTTTCTATAAATCTTAGAAATAAGTCCCTTGCCAGATAATGTACTTATCAACAAGTATGAATTTGTTGCTCTCATTTTGTTATGTGCTTTTTCACGGTGTTGATTTCTTTGTTCCATATAATTTTCTGTGCTGAGCTCATTTTGTTTATGAATCGTGTTATCACTTCCTTTGTTGCTGTTGTTTTAGTATTTGCTAAATATTTGTGCTGGTCCTCTTTTTTATTTTGATGTGAAGGTTTATCATTTATCTTTGAGGTTACCCTGTGATTTATAGTTTTCTTCTCAAGTTTAGAACAGTCCATTCTATCTGGTAGTTGTCTTGACTTTCCTACCATGTAGAAGTTCTGTACCTACACAATTTTTTCCCACTTTTTGGTTTGTAGTTGTTCTCATTTGTCAATTGATGACTCTGGTTCTCTGTTTACAATCTTGTAGGCTTATTTACTTTGGATACTTCTATAACTGGGTTGGTTTCTGGGTTATGTCACCATGTGTGTTAATGGTCAGTTGTTGTTTGCTGTTGTTGGTTCTCTGTCCAAAGGATTCCCTTTAGTATCTCTTGTAAGGTTGGTCTGGTTTTAACAAATTCCCTTAATTTCAGCTTATCTGGAAATGTCCTAATTTCACCATCATATTTGAGGGACAGTGTTGCTGGGTATATAATTCTTGGTGGGAAATTTTTCTCTTTTGGGATTTTATATATACCATCCCATTGTCTTCTTGCCTGCATAGTTTCTGCCGAGAAATTCAAGCTTAGTGTTTTGGGTTGCCTGTTGTAGGTAACTTTTTATTTTTCCTGTGCTGCTTTCAAGATTCTTTCTTTGTCTTTGGTTCTGGTGAGTTTGATGATGATATGTATTGGTGATTTTCTTTTGGGGTCTATCCTGTTTGGGCTTCATTGGACTTGTTGAGTGAATATATTCTCATCTTTCATCATACCAGGAAAATTCTCTTCCAACAAATTTTGACAATTTTTTCTGTGGTTTTGTCTGTCTCTTCCTGTTCTGGAATTCCGATTACATGTAGGTTATTCCTTTTGATGGTATCCCACATGGACTTTAGGCTTTCTTCATTTTGTTTTGACCTTTTTTCTGATTGATCCCTTTCCAAAGAAGTATTAAGGTATTTGCCTTCAATATCACTAATTCTGTCTTCTATTAATTCAATTCTACTCCTTTGCCCATTCAATGTGTTATCTATTTCTGGAAATTTAGCATTAATCTTCTGGATTTCCGTGTGTAGATTCTGTATCGTTTCTGATTTTTCATTTATTTTGTCATTTTGTTCTTGCATTGTCTTTTGAAATTGTTCTAGGGTTTTGTCTGTGTTTTCCTCAATTTTGTCAGTGTTTTCCTTGATCTGTCTCTCAATTCATTGAAGGTACACCTAAATATAATTCTTTTGAATTCCTTATGAGGGAATTCCAGTGCTGCATCTTCCTCAGGGATGTGTTTTGGGTCTGTAGCCTAGTCCTTTGTTTCCCTTGCTTCTTTGTGTGGACTGTGATGCTCTGTTATTTCCGAGGCATTGTGATGTTTTTGTGTTTGTATTTAACTGGTGATTGTATGTTGGCATGACTTGCCCATGATTTTTCAGTTTTTTTGTTTTGTTTTGTTTGTGTTATCTGTGTAAGCAGGGTACTGTGCTGCGCTCCTCTGTTTGCTAGTTGGCAGCAGTTATATACTCACCACCTGTCTCTTTTCCCATTGTCAGCCTCCCGTATGTCCGTGACGCCCTTGGCAAATGGAGACTATTCTGAGGTCCCTGGAATCCGAATGAGAATGCTGTCAAAATCCAAAATGGCCACTGCTTATAAATGTTCAAAATGGCTGGGTCCTCGGTCACTTTAAATATCCAAAATGGCCACCACTTGTAAACATTCAAAATGGCTGCACCCTTGGTCACTTTAAATATCCAAAATGGCTACCGCTTGTAAACATTCAAAATGGCTGCACCCTCCAGACAGCTGAAAGTCCACAGCTCAGGTTGTCTCCCTCCTTGCTGTTTCTCTTCCTAGTCATAGGCCACCAGCACAGTCATTCCTGCAGCCCTTGGCAAACAGGGCTGATCTTTAGGTCAATTCTCAGGTCCCAACACCACTTAGAAATATTCAGGCTGTTGGTCCCGTCAGAGTAGCTGACAGTCCACTGCTCTGACTGTCTCTGTACTCACTGTTTTCATTCAGGTTTTTCCACTGGTTGGTGCCTAATCCACTTCTGTATACTTCCTTTCAAAGTTCAGGGCTCCAGGATTATCTCCTGTATCTCTGTCAATTGGTTTCTCTTTTCTTTGTTGAAGAGGATTTATGTTGGTTGTTTGCCTATTCTGCCATCTTCCCTTTAATGAGTTTTAAATTGCCCTCTGGATACCTAGAGACCCTCCCAGTGGTTTGCATTTTGATAGATATCCATCAATAAAATTCAAGAAATTCTAAGGCCTGACTTTCATGAATGAGAGCTGAAGTTCTATTAGGAGTAAAATTGCTTGTCTTCCTTTTGTTTTGCACATATAAACTAGTTAAGATGTGTTCACTTTCACTCTGAGTCCATTTGTCCTTGGACTTTCTGCTTAGAGATGATGATTTTAGAACTCTTTTCAGCAAATGAAATTTTGACTCTTGAAAGTTAACTATTAGGAATCATTTTGATGGTAGACGCATTCCCGGATTCTAAGACTGCTTGCAGTACATATTGAATAATCTCTGTCATCTTGGACAGAGGTAGACTTAACTTAAAAACTTTTTTTTTAATGTTTATTGTGATTTGGGTGAAAGTTTTACAGAGAAAATTAACTTTCTTTTTTTTTTTTACTTTTATTGCGGTAAAAACATACATACCAAGACATTCACCAACATACCAACCTCCCTGTTTACAGCTCAGGGACACTGACAACATTTTTCATGTTGTGCCACCATTATTGCTACCTTTTTCTAAAATAGTCTACCACCATTAGCATCAACTCAGTGCCCTGCAAACAAAAGCTTCCCCTTTCCCATTTTTCTCCTATCTCTTATAACCACTAATAATCTTTGGGTTTTTTCTTTTTCTCTCTCTCTCTATATATTTCTATCCACCACCCCAACCTATCTAGGAATTTAGCCTCCCCATCCCACCCCCCAGTCCCTAGTAACCAACAAAGAGGGCTTCCTTCTATGTATAAACCTTTCCTTGACTTTTATAATAGTGGACAAATACAATATTGGTCCTGTGATTGAGTTAGCAAATTCATTTTCCATACAGCAGTTCATACATGTTTTGTTTCATGACACTGACTGCAATTCCCCACAATGTACAGCTCTCTTCCCACTTCCTCCTTGTAATTCTCTTCCCTATGTCCTTCTTTCTATGCATTCCTGCCCCCTGAGCTATCTCCCTGTGCAAGTACTGCTTTTCTGATCTCCCATGATTGCTTATTCTAAGGAGTGTATCTACCTGCTATAAATGTTCACCCTATATGCCTGTCTGTTGTTTGACTGGAAGCCACAGGAATAAGTTCAGTTCCAGGCCTGAGAGGTAACTAGGGGCCATAGTGTTGGGGGTTTCACCAGCCTCCATTAGAACAGATTTTGAGCTTTGTTCCTCATTTTTCTCCCAGTCTATTCAGGATCTCTTGCACTGATCCCTTTCCGAATGGTTGACACTGGTAGCCGGACACCACCTAGTTCTGGTCTCATGGTCATATAGTCTGGGGTTCATGTCTTCCACTAGTCCTTTGGATTAATTGTTTCCATGCATCTTTGATATTCTTCATTCTTTTTTGCTCCAGACTAGGAATCTGAGATCACTTGTTACATCTAGATGGCCACTTGCAAGCTTTTAAGACCCCAGTCACTAGTCATGAAAATAGGATGTAGAACAATGTTTTCATGTAGTACGTTATGCCATTTAAGCTTTATGTCCCCCACAAACATAGTCCTGAACCCACAGGTCCAACAATTGACTTAAAACCTTTTTTAAAAGTTCCTCACCTAATGATGAAAGTTTAGAAATGATTTTCAGATTATTTGTTGAAATGATGACCCGTTCAAAGATGTTACATACCTGTGGGCCTTATAGACTGTCCAAAGTGAACATGTACTAGGTTTATACCCAGCATTGATGATTAAAGTCTCTTATCCACAGTAATCCTAGCTCTTAATCTCAAACCATTGCGTGTATTTTTCTATGGCCCAGATGTATTGGAAGGTTTCTTGTTAGTGGGGACAATAGTTTTATCTGGAGGTTTTAGAAAGAATGAGATTATAAAGCCTGAGTAGAAATGTGAGCTTTCTCACACAGTGCTGCCTTTGCGCTGATAGTAGCTGTTATTTCAGTGTCTCATCATTGGAGCTGGCCCCTGTGGTCTCCGCACAGCCATTGACTTATCCTTACTGGGAGCCAAGGTGGTCGTTATTGAGAAACGAGATGCTTTCTCTCGCAACAACGTCTTGCATCTCTGGCCATTCACCATACATGATCTGCGAGGTCTGGGTGCCAAGAAGTTCTATGGCAAGTTCTGTGCTGGAGCCATTGACCATATCAGTAAGTAAAACCATTTCTCCTATAGTGTTCCCTTCTCTCCTTCCTGTTATTCAGTAGAAAGAGACAAGCAGATTGTCTGCAGAATACTCAACAGCCCAATTCATTCTGATATCATTAGTATCTATCTTGTAGAAAGCACACTTTGCTTGGAGTCAAAATACCTGCAACCCAGTCATTATGTAACCTAGGACTCTTAATTGCAAGTGTATCTCCTGTAAAATGAGTTTGACATAAGGCATTCTAATTTAAGTCTTAGAGTCTTACTGACTATTTGCAGTAGGCCAGGTAGGCACCACAGGCCAAGCATTGGGGAAACAGATGACCAATTGGTGGATCTTAGTCCAGTTGAAGAGGCACACAGACATGCAGCTATCTGTAATGTGATATGATACATGCCTTACTAATATAAGAGCAAAGTGCTGTGGAGACACAGTCCTGGAGTCCAAAACCACACTTAATGACAATGTAGAGTCCTAGTTGGTCTTGACTGTTACATCAATAATGGGATTATTTCGGCAGGGAGGATCTCGTGAGGTGTATAGCCAAGACAGCTATTACTGTACTCTTGCCATCTCTTTCCAAGCTGACCGTGGGCCTGTGCTTCTCTATAGAGTAAATACAAGTTAATAACAATACATTTTGTTTTCATGACTATAAAGTGGTCTGTTGGAAAAGCAATACAGAACAGAGAGTTTCTGGAGTGTGAAGTTGAAGTCTTATTTATTGATCACTATGTATGATTCTGTGGCAGCTCTGTCAAGCAGCCTATGTCCTGAACTCCTCCAGGTGTGCCCTGGAAATACATCCAACCATTGAACCTTTTGCTTTTTGAAGTGGTTGTGCTGTTTTATCAAACCCCAGCCAGCAGCTGCTACATTCCACTGACACACTGCCTGCAGAGGAAGCATTCGGCCCATCTGTTGGGTTATAATTTGTAAAGCATCTTGGAACTCACAGTTGTCTGCAGAAATAAAATGTATGCCAGCATAAGATTTAATGAGTCTTTGGGAGGGTGAGTCAGAAGGGTGGTGGTGTGGTGAGTAGGGGAAAATAGCCGCAATGACTTAGAGGAGGATTTGTATGTGCTCCCAGCAGATTAGTCACAGGCTATAGGTAGGGTTGTCTTCACAGAGGATCAAGGGTCATTAATTCAGTGGGTCTATCTGCCTTATGTCTAAAGGATTTGTCTTGGGGCTAAGAGAATTTGACAGAAATCAGGGACTAGGTTTTCCTATCTGTATACCTGGTGCTGCTGCAGTGTCTGGCACGTAGGTACTCACTGAATATTGAAGAAATGAATGATGCTCACCATGATTATGAGCAAGATTTTCAATCATTTGGCACCTTAGTTTCCCTAATGAGACTAGTGATGGGAAGGAGAATGGTAAGAGAATATGGTTGAGTTGTGGTTTCCTTTTCTCACCTTATGAGAATGTGCAGAGATCAGTGAGGTAATAGAATGAAAGAAAGATGCTGTGAGTGCCTCAAGGGTAGTTCCATAGCTTTGGGTCAGACTGGAAGGCACATGCCTCTGTCTTCCCCAGGAAGAGCCATGTCCTGTCAAGATTGTAGATTCTGCTAAGTAATGGTGGCTGTAACAGTGCCTTTGACTCAATCAGGAGAAAACAAAAATGAGACTCACTTCTTGACCGTAGGCTTCTGGATGTTTTGAACACCTGCCCCAGAGGTAGGCATGGCCTCAGGTGTCTCTCTGGGACATCCCTTCCATCAGCTTATATTTACTGTTTAAGAAAGACAGACAGACAGACAGAAGGAGCTGTGGGTGGGTGGGTGGGAATCTGACTAGTGACAGCTAACCATTACTCTCTCAGTAGGTCTCTTTCAAAGATGTAACATTTGTATTCATCAGGTATCCGTCAGCTCCAGCTCATACTGTTGAAAGTAGCCTTGATCCTAGGCGTTGAAATCCATGTCAATGTAGAATTCCAAGGACTTGTACAGCCTCCTGAGGACCAAGAAAATGAACGTAAGTTGGATTGGAACAAATGAAGAGCGATGAAAGGGTATTGAATGCATGAGAGAAAATGAAGTTAAGGGAGAAGACTGGAGGAAACTGGGTTTTCAGAACTAGTAAAAGGGGCTTTTCTGTTTGTACAGCCTGTATCTTTTGAGGACCTTTTAGCTCATCGAGGAGGCCTTTGACATAATATTAGATGTTGCAAGCACTGTGTTTATTGTAGAAAATCATAAGTTGAGGAATTCCCTTTGTGAGCCTTTTTCAAGGCTTCTTTCTTCATGTGGTCTTTACCCCCATGCATCTACACCTCGTGTTTTTGATTTGGAGTTTTGTGCAATCTGCATACTTGGGTATCTAGAGATAGTCTTAGATGTGTGAATATGGTCAGGATGATTCATTTTGACTTTGGTCCACAGGGATAGGTTGGCGGGCACTGGTGCACCCCAAAACCCATCCTGTATCGGAGTATGAATTTGAAGTGATCATTGGAGGAGATGGCCGTAGGAACACCTTGGAAGGTATTGGAACCCTCCTCCTTTGCTTAGATCCTAGCCAAGTGAAGGGTGACCTTGTCCCACTCCTGTGGTGAGAGCTTGTGTCATCAGAATCCACACTTATTAGAATCTGCTTGCTTGCTACTTCTTCTAATTGGATGGCAGCCTTCAGCCTTCTTTTGGCCAACTGGTATCCATCCAGGTTACTTCTTACAGGGCACTCTTGTCAGGGTGCAAGGAGATGACTGTACTAGTGTGGTTGGTATTGTTAGGATTAAATACAAGTATTAATAAGCAGTGACCTTTTATTTACTTATTTTTAAAACGAAATCCCTAGTACTGAGTAATATTCTGGGCAGTCAGATTTCAAAATTGTTAATACATGGGAGACTTGGTCTTCTTACCTTGATTGTTAGATTCCTTGGAAGGTAAATACCTTGTTCTCATACCTAGATGAGCAACCCTAAACTATTTCCGTTGATTCCCATCCCCCCTTTTGCTAATGTCTGCCTCAGTCCCATCCAGTTGAAGTGATCCTCCTCCTTCTCTAGCCAGATACTGCTACCTGTGTGACAGTTTTTTCCCCTTCAGGATTTCGTCGGAAAGAATTTCGTGGTAAACTGGCCATTGCCATTACAGCAAATTTTATTAACCGGAATACGACAGCAGAAGCCAAAGTGGAAGAAATCAGTGGTGTGGCCTTTATATTCAACCAAAAATTTTTCCAGGAACTGAGAGAAGCCACAGGTTGGTGTAGATGGCTCCAAAGCACTAAGGACAGTAATTTAAATATCCACCTGTTCTTTTTGTCTTGGGGAGATTGGTAGGGTAGTCCTTGGTTTTGTTGTTGTGCTGCTTGCCTCTCTGCGCTTTCTACCCCAGCCCAACCCCCTACCCCCCACTGGGCTTTTTTCTTAGCATAATGTTTCTATCCTCACTTGTCTCTGACTCTAGTGTTTGTCCTCATCGGAGTGTTCGGGTTGCTCTGAGTTTCTTTTTATTGATTGATTTTTAAGTGTTCATTCTGTGTTCTATCAACTCCTACCATGCCCCTTCCCTCTATTCTATGGCACTGTGTTACGGCATTTCAGGTGGTGAACCGTTGGTTGGTAGTTCTCTGATTTTATTGAGAATCTGACATCAGGTATTGAGGATGTAGTCTTCTTCCTGAGTTCCAGTTTGGGCTTGAAAGCAAGCCATGTACTAGATAGGAATTAGATTGTTGTGTGAGAGCTTTTGAATCGATCAACTTAGATATTTTGCCACATCAGAAAAACATGTTCATTCTTTCTATTACATCTACTTTTTAGATTAAATGAATCAAAAAGTCAGTAGTTCAGCCCCTGCTTCCAGGCATAAAGTTGTCTGTCCTGTTTTTCAAGATTCTAGGAGATTCCCCTAGCTTCCTTGATGACTATCAAAGACATTTAACCTGATCAATAACTCATATCCTCTTTCTAGAGGTTACTATCTTTTTTGGGGGGTCATGTCCCCATCCTGTATTTCTGCTTACTGCTGATCATTGTTTTTAGGATAGCTTAGAGTGTCAAGTGAATTATAGAGCAGAGCAAAGAGAAACAGAGCTCACTCCTTTTCATGGATTGTATTTGCAGGAAGTGAGAGGCTGGGTTCAGGAATCTTATTCATTTTCTCTTTTGCTGAGTGGCGTTCTGCCCCCTGGGCTCTGTGGGTCCCTGTGCAGTCTTTCCAGACATCCTCGTATACCTTTATCTCAAAGTCTTACATGTTCATGTTTGTTTTCTGGTCACAGGTATTGATTTGGAGAACATTGTCTATTACAAAGATGATACACACTACTTCGTTATGACAGCCAAAAAGCAGAGTTTACTGGACAAAGGGGTGATTCTGCATGTGAGCAATGGATTTCTTTCAAAACTTTAAATGTGGTGTGGTTAATGTGATCACCAGGAGAAAGAGTTTTATGGTCTGGTGGGTTTTTCCTGCAAGGAAACGAAGATGGGCACCTAACACATCTCCTGGGAACATGTACTCATTTTGGGTGTTTTTCAGTTTAACTTAAAAAAAAAATTTTTTTAATGGGAATTTTCAAATGTAAACAGAAGTACAGAATGATGTAATGAACCCCCATGTGCCATTATCTAGCTTTAATGGCCAATATTGTTTCAGTAGTACCCCTTTCACCATTAAATTGTTTCAAAGCAAGTCTTGGATATCACTTCATGTTTCAATATTTGGTTTAATTTTCAGTGATTTGGTCTGTGGTTATAGGGAGTTCTATATATGACTGTTGGTCAGTTAATAGATCTTCATTTCAGAGGAGGTATAGAGAAAAGGGAGGTTGACTAAAAAGCAATAATTAGTATTTTAGGAATCTGACAACGGTTCTGGTTTTACTACAAATATAGCTATCAGAGATCTAGGGACTACTGGATCAGGGTATATTTGGCCCATATGGATTTCTTCATGGTCTAACAGGGGCTTAATGACCATCCTTGGCCAAGTCCAACTTAAACCATAAAAATACCAAACCCACTGCCATTGAGTCACATCCGACTCATAGCAACCCCTCCTTGGATTTCGGAGGCGGTATCACTACGGAAGTAGATTGCCCAACCTTCCTTCCAAGGAGTGGCTGGTGGATTTGAACCTCCAGCCTTCTGGTTAGTAGTCACATGCCTTAGGCACTATGCTACCAGAGCTCCTAAATCCAACTTAGCCTTTTTTTTTTTTTTTCTTCAGGTAGCTCTGAGATTTTGATCTGAAATATTAACTCAGAGAATCACAGGGTGGGTGGTTTTTTAAGGAGGATTTCTTAAGTGTGATTCTGGTCTCATTGGCCAGAATATGTTCTGTAGTTGAATGTTTAATGTGAAAATCCTACAGTTGGCATCTCTTCTCAGCAGTCCAGAGAATTACTATCCCCATGTGATGAGAAGGACAGAAGTGAGGAGGCCCCAGATGTGCTGATTCAGACTTGCACAGTTCTCACCAGAGAATCACAGCTCAATTTCAGGGAGGCCTTTGTCTTTGTGGGATGATAATGAATCCAGTTGCTTTAGCTGAGTGACACTACTGCCTTATCTGAGAACAGAGTGGGGAGCAAGCTGATGAGCACGTGCCCAGAACACAAAGTCTCCTTTCCACCCAGGAACCTGTGCCCTGGCCTTTGTGTGTTTCTCAGCCTAGTGGTAGAAGGAGAAACAGGACAAAGCAGTTTGTACAGCCCATTCTGCCAAAAGTGTAAGCAAGATATATTTGGTTGGATACTTTGTAAAATTGTTATGTTGATTATTTTGAGCTGTTACATTGCTGTCAAAGAGAAATAGCCAGTGAGAGCAGTTGGTATGCCTTGGGACTAAGACTTAAACTTACCATATTAGGCAGATTACAGTGATCAATTGAAATTATGTAAACAATTTGAGTGCCAAGACCTGATTTCCTTTTTATTTGTTTTTTTAGAGGGCAGGGACCCTGCCTTCTCCATGTGCTACTCATTGTGGCGACTAACTCAGTGTTGAATAAACACTCTTTCCAGCACCAACTAGAATGTTTACATTTTGGCTTTTAACATCTTGTCGTGGTAACTCAAAGTGCCATCAGGGGCACTTGGAAATTTTAGGCCCCACTTAAGGAAAATAAAGACTTGGCTTCGATTGCCACAAACCTCCAGAACAGAAAAGAACTTTTTCAGTCCTTTATGTGAAAAGCTCTCATGATTGTTCTCTTTGTCAACAGGTTTCTATAGTCTTTCACAAGCTATATATTATTTTGAAAACCTTTGCTCCCATTTCAGTGTATTTCTTTCCAGCCTGCTGGGTTACTTACTATTGCTCCTGCCTCCACATCTTTGGGCCCCGAAGCTTTCAGGTTCTTCCTTTGGGTTTGCTGATTATGCAGAGCTCAGTGTTCCTTGTGGTCCTGATTGCCAAAGCTATTTGCTGCCCAGATACTGATTCCCAGTAATAACAAACTATACAGTGTTTTTTCCAGTCCACAAAACTCCATCATGTAAATTTATTTTATTTACTATTCTGAACAACTCTGTGAGGTAGATTGGACAGGATCAAAGAAGTAATGACTTGCTCAAGGATACTCATTAAATGGAGAAGCCATGACTGTATTTTTAGGAGGGAAAGCCTGTGTGCTCTTAGAAACAACCCTTTTCTTTTTAATTTGTGTAAAAGATTTAATTTTGCAATGTTGAGTCACTTTAGGGGAAAGGAAAAGCTATGAAGCTTGGTTGTGTCTCATACATGTAGTGTGTACGATGGCTGGCTAAGCTCGTACGTCCCTGTCTGGGCTTTTCCACCATGAGCCTCTTCTCTCTCTGGACACAGGACTATGCCGACACAGAGCTCTTGCTTTCCCGGGAGAATGTGGACCAAGAGGCTCTGCTGAATTATGCCAGGGAGGCAGCAGACTTCTCCACTCAGCAGCAGCTGCCGTCTCTGGATTTTGCCATCAATCACTACGGGCAGCCAGATGTGGCCATGTTCGATTTCACTTGTATGTACGCCTCTGAGAATGCTGCCTTGGTGCGGGAGCAGAATGGACACCAGTTATTAGTGGCTCTGGTTGGGGACAGCCTCCTAGAGGTGAGTACTAAGGATGGTAGCACTTTATGATAGAGGCAGTAGCCTCTCTTAAGCTTGAATCTGTGTCTAGGGTTGTGGAGTGAGCATCTAATTCCAGATGTTGTGCAGCGGAGGTAAACTCCCTGCAGGAATTACGCCAGAAAGGAGGGGAGGATCACAGGCCACTGGAACCCAGACTTGCTAAGTATACATGGAAATTCTGAAGCTTTTGTGACTTGCCCTTCTATCAATTTGTGATATAAATAGAGAAGTCAGTATCTGAATAATTGCCAGACACTACCCTCAAGAGCCTCTTTTGTTCCTCAGTTTCTCTATTTTAGAAGGTGATTTATTTTAATTCTTTGTTTTTTATTTCCTTCATAGCCTTTCTGGCCAATGGGAACAGGAATAGCCCGGGGCTTTCTAGCTGCTATGGACTCTGCCTGGATGGTACGAAGTTGGTCTCTAGGAACAAGTCCCTTGGAAGTCCTAGCAGAGAGGTAATGGATAGCAACCATGGGTTCCTTCCATCAGAAACTGGGCGTGAGAAGTGGTTTACTCTTCAGGCAGAGTTCAGGTTCTTTCTTCCCTTCTTAACTAAAGATGTTTTCATAATAAGGAAGGAAAGGTAAAACATTAATCCATAAAATCATAGAAACTTAAAGATAATCTAGTCTGACTAACTGCTCTACTCTTGTTCCTTTCCAAATTATATTTGTTACTGATGAATGATATCTGAATCTTTGTATAATACTCCAGGGTGGTATCTGATCCCTTTATGACAGGTACATGAACAAATAGAGAAAAAAGAGTAAATTAGATCCTCTTACCCTCAAGCCTGAAAGACTTAAAGTAATAAAGACAGTGTGGTAGTATGGGTCATACTGAGACATTTTTGTTGTTATTTGCCGTTGAGTCGGACCAACTCATAGTGACCCCTCCTTGGGTTTCCGAGACAGTATCACTATGGAAGTAGATTGCCCAACCTTCCTTCTGAGGAGTGGCTGGTGGGTTTGATCCGCCAGCCTTCTGGTTAGCAGGCAAGTGCCTTAGGCACTACGCTACCAGAGCTCCTCATACTGAGATAGAAGAAGAAATTAAAAATGACTTTGAGTTCAAAGGGAATACCAAATGCTTGTACACATTACTCAGACCCCCAAAACTCAGGTGTTTTAAAGCAGATTTTTATAGAGGATGTAAAAATCCAAACATTTGCTGGCTGATAAAGACTAAGGCCTCAGACAGGAGCTAGAGAGATAAGACTTCCTAGGTGAAATTGATAGTTGATACAATTTTAAGTCTGTTACTGAAGGCATTCTGAGTAGATTCAGTAGCACGTTCCTATTTCATCAGTGATTTTCTTAAAAATTAAGGTAAATATTGGTATACTTAAAAAACAAACAGTAAATGAGTTGCCTTTTAAATTAGAGCCAGGCATGTATCACTGGCCAAAGCAGTGTGCTTGCTATTCTCGTTGGCTCTTAATCAGTCCAGTTCTTGTGGACTCACTGAAGTGTGGTGGATATCAGAAGAGGGGGCTAATGTAGGATTGGTAGAAACTGGTCAAGGATGACGGTTTGTATTATCCTTGAAGATATAAAAAAAGAACTTTCTAAAAGGAGAGAGGGATGTTTATGGTGCTTATCACTCTCTAAGTATATGCTATGTCATTGCAGGGAAAGCATTTATAGGTTGCTGCCTCAGACCACCCCTGAGAATGTGAGTAAAAACTTCAGCCAGTACAGCATTGACCCGGTCACCAGGTATCCCAATATTAATGTCAACTTCCTCCGGCCAAACCAGGTAAGAGCCATTTAGTCAGTTATCTACATCTGAGCCCTCTCACAGAACACATCATACCTCTGATGTATGAAATGTGTATAACTATTAATACCAAAGGAGCTCTGGTGGCACAGTGCCTCAGGCATTGCTGCTAACCAGAAGGTCAGCGGTTCACCACCAGCTGCTCCACAGAAGGAAGATGGGGCAATCTATTTCCATAAAGATTTACTGCCTTGGAAACTGAATGGCGGTTGCTATGAGTCAGAATTGACTCGATGGCAGTGGGCTTGGTATTAATACCAAACATATATATGGGATACTTCTTTAGTAATCAAGTGGATGTCCCTTTGAATTGGCTGCAGGTAGATACAGTTTTCTATCAACAGACTGAGGAGCTAAGGCAGAGAGTTGTTGAATGACTTGCAGAAGATCGAACATAACAAAAGTGGTGGATCCAAAGCATTATCCCATGCCTCCTAATTCAAATTGCGTATTATAGGGGAAAGAGCACCTGTTCGGTGGTCAAGAGATGGGACTTCTCCCTCCATTTTTGCTACAAATCACCTGTGACTTAGGTTATTTCATTTTTCTCTGAACCTCAGTTTCCTCACCTATAAAATTGAAGTAATAACCCTTGTCTATACACACAGGATCCTTGTGAGGTCAAAGGAAATTATTCACTCGAAAGAATTTTGAAAGATAAAGCACTCTCTACATGTAAAAGATACCAATATTATTATTGTTGTTAGTCAACTATTTCATACTACTGAGTTGTTTCTTAGAATCTATAAAACCTCATTAGTGCATTGAGAATGATATCTCACAAAGCACAATGATCCCAAAGAGCAGAAGAGTTTTCAGAAAGCAGCCCATTAGATATATTTTACTTCTGTCATAATGTGATTTTTTTATTCACCTTCTACCTGAAGTTTACACCTCAGGTCTTCCATATTTGTGTGGTGAGTTCATAAGGTATCCAACAGACCTGCTGTTTATCAGTAGTGTTAATGGTCCAGAAGAGACTTGTCTGTGGACTGCCATGGCTGAGTAGCTAATTTTTACCACAACTTCTTAATTTTTGGAAAGTTTAAGATTTGTGGAGCTCCTGTTGTATTTTCCCTGCATGACTGTAGTTGTAAACATTTGGATGTTGTCAGGGTAGTATCAATCTTACTGTCTCTTGCTTGGAATATACATAAAGCCATCACTGAGTTCCCTCCTTCATACATTGAGGCTTTTTCGAATTTCTTCTTGACAAAGAGATTTTGGTCTTTGGCTTCATTTTAGACCAAACCAAGATTAATAAATATTTGTTCATACAGAATCTTACCTCATTCCGTAAAGGATTTAAAGGGCATCATCATAACTTCTTTCTAAACTTTGCCTGTCCTGCTGCTATCCCTGTAATTTGTCTCAATCATTCTACGCTTGGATGGAGATTTGTTAACCTGGCATTTTCTTTTCCTTCATTTTGATGTTGTAACTTTTCACCAGGTGCGCCATTTATATGATACTGGAGAAACAAAAGACATTCATCTGGAAATGGAGAACCTGGTGAATTTGCGAACCACTCCAAAGTTGACTCGTAATGGTGAGTTCTGGTAATGGCCTTTTCTTGTTCAGAGAAGCCTATATTCGTTCACTGACCAGTTGATGTGCACAGTACTGTCTAAGTACTGACTATTTCTCAGTCAGGTGTGATTTACCCTTCAGGGGACATTTGAGAATGTCTGGAGACGTTTTCAGTTGTCATAACTGGGGGAAGGTACTACTATTATGTAGTGGCTAGAAGCCAGAGGTGCCGTTAAATTTTTAACGCACAAGATAGCCCCCACAACAAAAAATTATATGACCAAAATTATCAGTAATGTCAAGGTTGAAAAATATAGTTTAAGGTGTTACGTTGTTATTGTTATGTACCATCAAATCAAGTCTAACTCATAGTAGCCTTGTGTGACAGGGTAGAACTGCCCCATAGGATTTGCTAGGCTGTAATCTTTCAGGAGCAGATCGCCAGATCTTCCGCGGAGCTGTTGGTGGAGTCAACTCACTGATCTTTTGGTTAGCAGCAAAGAACTTAACCATTGCACCACCAGGGCTCCTAAGGTGTTATGGGGATGCAAACATAAGTCTGATGTGTATGCTGTCCCTTAAGAGAGGAAGAGAGTCAACTAAAGTTATTGGGGAAGGCTTATGGAGGAAATAGTGGCATCTTAGCTATCCTAAGATGTGAACAGGATAGAGCAACAGAGGCAAAGGTAATTCTGTATTTTGTGTGCATAGAAGGGCCCCTGAAGATTTTTTTTAAAAGGAGAGTAACATGAGTATATCTGGTCAGCTACATGTGAGATGGATTGTTGAAGGGAAATGTTGGAGGTAGAAATACTAGTTAGAAGCCCATTGTGATAGTTCAACCTTTAGGTTGAACTATAAAGGCCTAAATCTACTGTTGATGGTGAGTATGCAAAAGGGAGAATGCAGTGGAATGGAGTAGGAGTTGACTTTGAGGCCAGATGCAAACTGGGTCCCAGTTCAAATTCTGCCATTTGTGAAGTGTGTGGCCTTGGACAAGCTACTTAACATCTCTGAATTTCAGTGTCTTTATGAAATGGGAGTAATAATATCTGCCTTGCAGTGTGGTCATGAGGATTCTGTGAAGTGTATTTTTACAATGCCTGGTGTATATTGGGTAGCCATTTCATCATTGTCATTATTAACTATGTGAGAGAATAGTAAGGTGGCAGAAACAATAGGCATTGGCAGTTGATTGCACTATTAGGCAAGTGATAAGTAGTCGTAGATGGTGCTGCCATCAGTCTAAATAAAAAGTGGGAGGATGAGAAAATTTTAAAAACAAGAGGATTAGTTCTATTTTGGGCATTTTGATTTGGGGATATCAAGGTGGCTATGATGGCCAAAAGGCAATTAGAATATTTTCATCTTTCCTACTGGAGTGTCATTTCCTAGAAAGCAGAGAGTATATATTTGTTATTCGTTCTAGAGCTTGGAATATTGAAGTTGCCCAGTACGTATTAGGTGGATATTTACAGATTTAGGAGGCATCTGAATCAAGTAAATTTCTGAAGCCAAGAGATTTATGATGATGGCACCAGCAGTGGTTCTGTGTATAGTTTCAAAGTATATTTTTTACTGTGAAAGACTTAAATGAAACACAAGTTTCATGATATGTAGCATTTATGTTGTTATGTTCACAGATCACTAAGTCACTTGATATCACAGCTAGACATTTTCAGATGCCTTATGTGAGGGAACAACTTTCTTGGATGTAGTTAGGAGTTTGCAGATATCAGAGTTCTTCTGATGCGATTAAGGAAAACTGATTTATAAAGGCTGTTCATGTTTTAGAAGATATGTAAATGAACTGGAAAACACCCAAGAGTATTTGTGTGCCTGTTGACATAGTGCCTAAGGCATTTTGACTGCTAACCAGAAGGCTGGCAGTTCAGACCCACCAGCCACTCCTCGGAAGGAAGACTGAGGAATGTATTTCCATAGAGATACTGCCTTGGCAACCCAAGGAGGGGTCATTCTGAGTCAGGACCGATTCGACAGCAGTGAGTTTTTTATTTTTCGATTTATTTGGTTTTTTAAGATCTGATAATTTATAATACAGGGTGCGCAGCCTGGCCTGAGGGTTGTTCTGATCTGGGTTCTTTGGCCTTTGTAACCCTACAGAGCTCCTTCACTTGGCAAAGTGGAAAGTGTAAGGTCAGAGCTTTGTTTGCTGTTAGTTTAAATTGCTGCTAGCTAGAGCATAATCTTCTAATCTCATTCTCCCAGCGTTACGTTGAGGGTCTCCAGAGAAGTCCTAGAGCTATTACAAGTGAGGGTGACCGCTCAGTAGGTGGTGCTGTTCCATCTAAGTCAGTATCCAGGAGTGCCACAGTGACCCGTGGCTTCAGCCTGAACAGCTCCGGATCACCACGGTTGTGATTCTGTTAGTGAGGTGGAATTTCAGCTGAGAATCTGTGTAAATTGGTAGTCTACCTAAAATTCCACTATCCTCATATCAGTTACCAATTACATAGCTTTGGACTCCTCATTATTTTCTTTTGAAAATGGGTGACAACTGTTTTGTCCCTGCCCTATTTATTTAATTTACTCCCATCTGTCACCCATTATGTAGCTCAACCCTAGGAATGAAGAGTTGAATTTTAAAACATATAGTCACCCATAAGGCAAGGGAAAAAAGATGAAGGCAGAAGTAGCTCAAGGGTGCCTACCAGACAGGGTGGAGGGTAAAATGAATGACACAGGGGTACATTACTGTTAGAAAAGACCAAAGGCTTCCTGGAGAAAAGGGTGGTAGGAGTTATCTAGTGAAGTTATTTTTTATACTGGATACATGTACTACAAAGAGAATCCTCTATCATATCAACGCTACTAGGTGACCATTATTTCCAGTAATAATTTCGTTGTTGTTTTAGAGTCTGTAGCTCGTTCAAGCAAGCTGCTGGGTTGGTGCCAAAGGCAGACAGATGGCTACGCAGGGGTAAACGTGACAGATCTCACCATGTCTTGGAAAAGTGGCCTGGCCTTGTGTGCAATTATCCATAGATACCGCCCTGATCTAATGTAAGTCTTGATCAAATTTTGTATTTTATTTTTTATTCCCAAGGATCTCAAAGCCGCCTGCTATCAAGTAGCCAAATTTTGTGCTATTTCCTAGAATGAGATACGTAGTAAAAAAACTTTCTCTAGAAGGCAGTGATTAATTTTGATTTTGCTATATTTAAACTCTGTATGTCAGGCATTGTGTAGCTCAATCCAGGAATTTTTTAAAAATTAATTAACTGAATTTTTTAACAGCACAGCACTCATAAGGTCAAAAACTGGTTTCAACACCCACCTGGAACTATTAACTTCACACAAAGGAAAACTCTGTTTATTGGCCCTGGGTTGAACTCTTCATCTTGGCCAGCTATCTTTCCAATGCTATTGGTCACAAGGGAAACCTGGCTGGAACATTTGGCTAGCTCAGGGCAAATATGTCACTACCAACAAAACAAAAACCAGTGAATACTTAACCCAATTTATAACGGATCATTGGTGTTATCTCTTTGTTAAGGATTGTACTTTTTGCCCATATACTCTTTCAAGCCCATGAAGCTCACGTTGCCCTAACCACCTACACCATGTACCATCTCCTTTTCTGGACATTTTTCACTCACCTGTCTGCAGACTAAGGACAGCACTAGGAGGACTCAGGCCAATTGTTGGTGACCGGTGCACTCAGATGTCCCCCATCATCATTTATTGTCATGGGAACCAAACAAAAACATTCAGAAACAGAAGCAGAGCATGTTGGTTTCTTTTGGCTGCCTGTCCTCTTCATCATTAGGTCCGCTTAAGGGCCCAATTTTTGTTTCTTTGTTTTGTTTTAATGATGGCTTCATCCTAAAAAACATAGTCTCTATATGATGGTTATATACTGTTGACCCAAGAATTAGTAAAAACAGCCTTACATAGTGGTGGTTTAGAGAATTTCTGATTAGCTTGGATAATGGTAGGTGACTTCTGGTGTTCTGTCCCTTAGCTCTTCCAGAGGCTGGTAAAAGGTAAGTGAAATTAGAGCTTACTCACCCCTACCAAAAAAGGGAGAGGAGAAAGGAAGAAGCAGAAAAAGATTGTGACAAATGGTTCATAAGTGATTTAGGAGATGGGACCAGTTAATTATTCCACAGGGAAAGTGAGAAGAAAAAAAAAAAAAAAAAGGAGATGAAGGCATATGTAGCTGGAAGAAGCCTAGCAGATGGGGTGGAGGGGTGTGTATGGGGGTATAGGAAGTACATTACTATGAGAAAAGACCAGAGGCTGCCTGGAGAAAAGGTTTAGGAGAGTTATGTAGTGGCGTTATCTTATATTAGAACACAAAGCAGTGAATAGGTAGCTTGGCACTGTATAGACTACAATGACTTCATCCAGGATGAGGCCTCCAGAGTGTAATAGGCTTAATCTACAGAGAAAGGGATTTAAAACATGAAAAAATGCTGTGGGGTCAGTAGGTTAACGCAAAATAAGGTCTGCCCAGTTAATCTGAAATCACGTCAAGAAGAATGCTATCACTCTTTACTCTGATTGAATAGCATAAAACACAGTGGGAAATGTTGGCTAATCAAAATGCTTGGGAAAACTCAGGAAATTTAGCAATGGAAAAATCTTTTGAGGAAGGTTTTGGAATTTCCCTTTGAGGAGAAGGCTGAGTTAAGATTTACCAGCGTTGATTTAATACAATAACATTTGTCAGTTCCAAGGGACATAACAGTGATAATCTCAGGACCTTGAGTAATCTGATCCAAGTAGGATTTTTTTTTTTTTCATTATTTAACATTTGCTTAGTGTATACATATCAAACACAAAGTACAGGAAAATACATATTAAAGATAGTTTCTTTTCTTGAGCAACGTTTGAGTAAGAAGTCATGTTATCAGATAAATTAGGGTAGTTCTCCAAGTTTGCCTCTCTTCTTTCCTTTACTGCTTAGATCTTAAATCATTCTCCTTAAATGTTTCCTTAGTAAAAAAGGAGAAAAAGAGGTGAATTAAAAAGGTTTGCTTTTAGGTTTCAGTAATGCACAGTATCCTGGGTTTTAACCAAAACACCAGGAAATGATGTGGACTCCATGATAGTGTGTTGTCTGTTTTGATGACAGTCAGCCCATCTTGACACATTTTCCTTGTCTTGGTTCTCAGAGACTTCGATTCTCTGGATGAGCAGAATGTGGAGAAGAATAACCAACTGGCCTTTGATATTGCCGAGAAGGAACTAGGCATTTCTCCCATCATGACCGGCAAAGAGATGGCCTCTGTGGGGGAGCCTGACAAGCTGTCCATGGTGATGTACTTGACCCAGTTCTATGAGATGTTCAAGGACTCACTCCCCTCTAGTGGTAAGGGCCTGGCTGTGACATTGCCCTGAATGACCTCCATATCCCTGTGTTTTTGCCTGGCTTTTCTGTCTTCCTCTCTAACTGTATCCTTCATCAGCACCACCAAAAGCAGACTTCAGCTTACCCTGCTTTTTCTGGTTGGCTATCAGAGGAAGTCTCTGGGATTTCATTTCCTTTTTCTCTTCTCTAGTATGACCTCAAATGAGGTCTGGTGGCATTTGAGTGCTAACTGGAAGGTTGACGGTTTAAATCCACCAGCCACCCTGTGGAAGGAAGACTGAGCAGTCTACTTCCATAAAGATTTACTGCCTCAGAAACTCAAAAGGAGTCACTATGAGTCAAGATCGACTTGATGGCAGTGATTTTTTTTTTTTTTTTTTAAGTGTGTCCTCAAGGAACTCTGGTGGTACAGTGGTTAAGCACTCAGCTCCTAACCAAAATATCAAACCCACCAGCCATTCCATGGGAGAAAGATGTGACATTCTGCTTCTGTAAAGATTATAGCTTTGGAAATCCTATGGGGCAGTTCTACTCTGTCCTGTAGGGTCACTGTGAGTCAAAATTGACTCTTTGATAAGGAGTTTGGGTTTTTTCATATCCTTAACCACTCATTCTTTCCCAAACCTTTCTCACTCAGTCACTTGGCAGAATAGGCAAATAAATAGGCAGAAAGCACTCCTTTCCATATTTTCCCCTTGACTCTACAACCTTCGTATAGCCTTTTTCTTTAGAACCAGCCTTTTTGAAAAAGTGGACTATACTTGTTGCCTCTACTGCCTCACTGCCTGAACTGGTGAACACTTTGCAACCTTGCTTCTATTTTTATGCTCTATCAAAATTGTTCTCCATAATCATTTAAAAAAAAAAAAAAAAACACTAAATCCACATTCTTTTCTCATTCCTCGCCCCTCATCCACTTGATTTTTTCGCATCATTCATTGCTGTGGAATAATGTCCTTTTTCTCAAAGCTCTGTCTTCCCTTCAGCTTCCATGATCCTGTACTGTACTTGCCTCACTCTCCTTCCTTCTCCTTTAACTGTTCTTTCTCTGGCTTCTCTTTCTTCTCCTACCTCTTGGTATTTCCCAGAGCAAGTCCTCAGCCTGCTGCCTCATTCTATAAAAAATATTTGTTATTTATTATCCCTGCGAGTAAGTGTAGCATAATGCTTAAGAGTGTAGACTATAGTGTGTGACCTGGATTTATATCCCAGTATGTCCACTTTGCTTGACCTTAGACAAATTGCTAAAATTTCTCTGTGCCTCAGTTTCCCCATCTATAAAGAGAAGATAATACACAGTGAAACCTGTGAGAGTTGAAACCCTGCAAGACGGTCTTGTTTTTCTGGATCTTGCAAGTATTCCACCTTTGACAGGGTGCAGTTTTACTGCTTTTCTATCACTTGTTTTAGCGGGAGATATTTACATTTTCCCTCTCTAACAGGTTTCTGCCTTACACAGGTTCTGGCTTTCATAAGCTTTTGCTGTATATCATTAAATTGTGATAAGTTAAGAAGAATTTTCAGCAGTGGGACGCACTTAATAAATGTTAGCTATTTGTTACTTGCTTTAATTTTTGTAAGTTATTTTCTAATATTACTAATAAAACATTGAAATCTACCACGTTTGTGGTACTAGCAGCCCATGTATCTTGTAGGCATCCGTGGCCTTTTCTGATTCCATAACAGAGTTCCCTTTCCGATCTGACCAACTACTGCAGTTACAGCAGAGATGTACAGCTCTTAGCAATAGCGTGTCCACTCAGGAAGAGCCTTAAGTGCATGATGTTTACATACACCAGAGCATGAACCTGAGTTACGTACCCTTTCGTTTCCTCTCTTCCTCTTCCCTCTCTTCCTCACCCCTGAAATTTTTATCAGAAAGGTAAAGTGTCAGCACTGTACTGCAACTGACAATCGCAGGCAGACTCCAGTCTTTGAAAAGCAAAAGTGGATTTTTTTCCAGTTGAAGTTGATTAGGAAGAAGAGAGTTTACTTTGTTTATGTGGAGGGAAAAGAGAAGGTTCGCCATCCAGACCTTTTTCTTTCATAGGCTTTCCTCTGGAGATTCTCATGCTTTTGTCATAGCTGGTGCACTGTTAGAGCTTTCTGAGGTCCCATGAACCGCCATTAAGAGACAGTAGTGCTGGTCAGGACTTGATGTTCCCCCTCCAGGACCATCCTTGAGCCTTGCTGATTTTTGTCCACAGACACCTTGGACTTGAACGCTGAGGAGAAGGCAGTCCTGATAGCCAGCACCAAATCCCCCATCTCCTTCCTCAGCAAACTTGGGCAGACCATCTCTCGGAAGCGTTCTCCCAAGGTAAATGGGGGAGGGGGGAGTCTTCCCATAGGATGCAAAGCTGATAGCAAGGCATGGGAGCTACAGTAATGTGTTTTCCCTCCTCTCCTGGTATAGGATAAAAAGGAAAAGGACTTAGATGGTGCTGGAAAGAGGAGAAAGACCAGTCAATCAGAGGAGGTGAGAATCATCTGGGGTTTGCCTGAGTGATTATACTGAATTGCCCTTTTTTGTTTATGTCCTTAATTTCTTCAAATTGGTATATTAACTCTTAACTTTTTATAAGAATTTCTGTGGGCAGATGCTTTTTCTAAGGGCCGGCTCCTGTGCTTAATTTTGCGGGGAGGGTCCAAGAGAACACACATGTGCCCTAGTGCTTTTTTGGCTCTTTGAAATCACACATTTGGCAAAGGGCGGTGACTCTCTGGGACATAACACCAGCAAAAGTCTGAGTACTTTCTCTTACTGCTGTCATGTACTGAAGTCTTGCTGACTTGCTTCTTGAGATTAGAACCTTGAAGAGAGCTATTAAGCTCAATCTTAAGCATAAATACCAGCCCCTGTGCCACGGAGCAACTGAACTTCTTGGAGGGACGGGAATTTGGCGGGGCCTCCTATAACAGAGTGTGGTTCTTGGGTGGTTGGCGTTCATTAGGAGGAGGCCCCTCGGAGCTACAGAGGAGAAAGACCCACGCTGGTGAGCACCCTGACAGACAGAAGGATGGACATTGCCGTTGGGAACCAGAACAAAGTGAAATACATGGCAACACAGCTGCTGGCCAAATTTGAAGAGAATGCGCCCCCGCAGTCCACTGGCATAAGGAGACAGGTAAGGCCCATAGCACACCTTGCCCATCCGATTTGCTGTGGTCATAACAGGCTAGAGGAATCTTTTTAGTCAAAAGAGGTGGGGTATGTAACAGACCCTAGGATCTGTGGGCTCAAGATTGGTGTCGATTTTCTCTTGGCTGACTATGGCCAAGAAGAGCATTTCGTGAGCTTTTCTTATGAAGAGAACTGCTTTTGGAACTGCCTTGGCCTCAGCGTTCAAGTCCAAGATGTCTGTAACAAAAATCAGAGGCATTTAAAAAATGTATACATATGTATATAGGTATGTCTGTATATATTCACATACACACATGTTTAAATTATAAAAGAAGTACATGTTTATTGAGGAAAATTCTGAGAAGTATAAGATAATCCAGCCACTCCTCAGAGGGAAGATTGGGCTATCTACTTCCATAGAGATGCCACCTTGGAAACCTGAGGAGGGGTCGCTGTGAGTTGGAGATGACTTGATGGCACGTAACGACAGCATAATTCCATTGATATTTTGCTGTTTTTCATTCTGGTCTTTTTTCATTACATTTGTGTTTTCACAGTTAAGGCTATGATTAATATACTTGTTTCTAGTCTACTTTTTTCATATAACTTTTAATTTACTACCATATTGTTCCAAACTCTTTATAAACATCTTTGAAAATGTGTGTGTCCATGCTCTTCTTAACTATTCCTCCAGTGCTAAATGATTTTAGTTGTTTCAAGTCTTTCTTTATAAAGTATGGGAGCTTTGTTGGTGTAGTGCCAAAGGCATTTGACTGCTAACCAGAAGGCTAGCAGTTCAAAGCCACCAGCCACTCCTCGGAAGGAAGACTGAACAATCTACTTCTGTAGAGATACTGTATGGAAACCCAAGGAGGGGTCGCTATGAGTCAGAATTCCTCTAGTGTATAATGATTTCAGTTGTTTCAAGTCTTTCTTTATAAAGTACAGTGACAAAAATTCCTATGATAAAGCTTTTTGTTGTTGTTTCTTTTTCAAATTATTTTCCTAGGATATTACTAGATCAGACCATATGAATGTTTTAAAGATTCTTCATGAATCCTAAGTTGTACTCCCATAAGTCAAGCAGGAACATGCTAGACGGGAACGTTTGACTTGAAGTGTCTTTGTTAGGTCTTGTTTTCTGACAAGAAAACTTGTCACTAAGACTTTTTATAAGAGGAAGCATTGGGGTTTGGAGATTCACGCTGAAAATTTCTTGACCACCTGAGGGACCATCTGGACCTGGAAGCCCATCCTTTTATTCCTTTTCTCTTTCTCCATCTTCTCCATCCTCATCAGCCATTGTTCTGTAAACCAGGAAGGTGGGACTGACCTTTCTTGGAGTCTGACCATAACTAACTTCTGCTCACATAACAGTCTGTGGTGATTAATCTTTATACTCCAGTCCATTCATGTCATGGCTTACAGATGATCTTTGTGGTAAATGCTGAGGTTGTCCAGAGGCTCTGGGAGCCCCAGGTGCCACCCCACCTCAGGAAAGCTGCGGGGGTTACAACTCCAGCAATGGAACACTCTCTGTGAGAGGAAGGTTGACCCCTAGTTGCTGTCCTCACTTTGGATGCAAAGATTAGTGTTCCAAATCAGAATTAGTAGGCTACGCTAAAAGAACTTTGGACTTTGGAAAAGAGTAATGAGAATCAGAGCTTCCATTTTCCTGTTATTTCTGGATTTGCTCACCCCCTGCCCCCCAAGGGAGTATTTCCTTTCCTTTATATGTGTGACTTTTAAGAATTCCGCCCCCCTCCTCAGTTCATAGATGTGTGTCTGTCTCCCTTGAGCACCTTTTTTTTGTCTTCTCCTACCTTACTGTGTTTTATTTTGTTTTGTCTCCATGTCCTGTCCCCCCCCATATTTGACCTGTGTGTCACAGCCGACACAAGAGCGTGGGGTCAGCCAGCCATCCTGCTGCTTGCCTGGACAGGGTCGCCCTGCTCCCACCCCCCAGTGGAAACAGGTAAAGAAACTTCCCAGGGTCCAGGACGGGTGCTGCCTACTCAGGCCATCTCACCCCACTCTTCCTCTGATCCACACAGGCTCGAGGTCTGTGCATTGGAGTCCCAGCTCTCCAGGGAAGGAAGTCTCTGTGCTCATCTGAGCAGTGACTCTGGCAGTGCTTATTTTAGTATATGATTAGTTTAAGTCCCTGGAATTTGAGAGACCAGGTAAAAGTGTTGGGAGTTAATTTGGAGTTAATGAAACTGTGTTGCTAGGTGCTTTATAATTGCCTTTGCAATTTTGCTTTGTAGCATTTGTCCAAAGTTGACTTTTTGCATAGTGTGTCTCTGTGAGATCATTGGAGGGAAAATCCTGAATCCCTCAGGCTGAGAATGAGGGTAGTTGAACCTTTCATGTTAGATAGAAAAGTGTTATTCCAGAAAATAGTCCTGAACTATGATTTTTGTTTGTTTTAAACCCTGGGTAAAGATGTTCATGGGCACTTTTTTGGTGTTTTGTCTACATTTGAAATACTCTTTCTGGAAGTTTTCTCTAAACTCTAAACAATATCTCCTGGAAAACTGCTTCCCCTAAGCAGTGCACAACAGGCCAGGAAGGAAGAAGATGGCACCTGGTTTATAGTAGAAAACTCTGCCTAGGGGTTGGAGGCCTCTACCAGTACTGTATTTTTCCCCACGTCACAGTGAGCAAGTTCCCACTCCAGTGAGAGGAGCCTGGACTGGCTGCCTCATGGTTTGATTTCATCCAGGACTGACCAGATTCTGAGTGGCCCTTGATGCCATCAGCATCGTCCCCAGTCAGCCTCGCCAGCCTCTTATGCTATAGAGTAACAGCTATTGCTGGGAGGTGCTTGGGAGTGGTGAGCTGGGTTTTATTTAAATTACATTCAGGGCAAAGTGTTCATTTCTAATCTTTTTTTAATATTATGCCACATTTAAGAGAGGGCCCATGAGGCTGAGATGGAATCTTGGGAGTAATGTCTAAACTCACAACAGAAGAAGCCAAGCTGTCTCTTTCTCTACACTTGGAAGGCATCTCCTCCAAAAAATTCATTGGAAGTTTATTTCTATTATGTGTCCCTACCTTTTGCCTTGATGTCTAAGTGGAAGGTGTGATTTGAAAGAAAATCTTAAGTTGAGGATCTGTTGAACTAATGAACTCTAATCACTTGGAATCTAGATTCTAAAAGCTGTAGATTCATAGAAGATTCATAAAGGCCCACTGAGATGAGAGGAGCAAAGGGGAGGGAAGGTAATACACATGAATGAATGACAAGTGATTTTCAGTGGCTTTGGAGAACCTTGGATGGGCTTGCTTGGGAAGTCTCAGAGGCAGTAAATTTAGTGACCCAATGAAGCGTGGCTGAGCTGGGATCTCTGTCCTGGTGAAAACAGACACATCAACTTGTTGCCTGATGGAGCTGTACTAAAAGGGCATCAGAGGCTTGATTTTGTGGAGCTACTTGTACTTCTATTTATGAAGCATCTCATAGCCTCTAGCTTTGTGTTGGGTGTCATATGGGGAATGTTGTTAGTCCCCATCTATACACTTTGCCATTCAGGCAATTTTTGATCACAGTCAATGAAGTAGAATGCTGGTAGGCTATACAGGCAGCAGAATAGAAACATTAAAATCAAACAGAGGTTCTATGGAATAGGCGTGAGAGGTTACAGTTAGAAGGGGTAGCTGAGTTGCTTCTGTGCTCAGAGTGATAAGTGAGAACCCATGAGCAATTGAAAGCTTGTTAGATTCTTACATGCTTCAGGTCATACAGAGTTGGGAATTTACTTGGCTGCAGAGAAGTAGCACTGAGAAAGAAATATAACTCACAGTTCATATGTGTATGTGAAATGTGTAATAGTCACATAATATTTTTTTCTGAACACTAAATCAGAGATGGTGTTGTGAATCTTGGCCTTCCAGATTTGTCTTCTGGAAGGTGGAACCTAGGAGTGCAATACCAGATGCCACAGAAACCTGGGGACAGAGGATCTACAATAGTGCAATAAGTGCCCTTAGCTCCTGACTCAGCCTGAGTGCTGGCCCTCCCTCATCCCCGTCAGGAGTGAGGGGCTGACTGGAAACACCTCACTGTGACTCACTGGTTCACCGTGACTCACTGGTGTTTCTTTTGAAGTGGTTCAGACCAAGGCAGGAGGAGGGTGTGGCCTCACAACAGCAGTGGCTGAGCTGGTACTAGGACCAGTGTCTGCTTAGGTCACAGTGTAGAAGAGAGGAAATGAGTAGCACCTTTGTTTGCCAGTGACTTCTCTGTTTTACCTTCCTATGTAAACACAGTGGCTCTTCCCTCCCCTACTTTCTTGCCTTTTGATCTCAGAAATGCATCCCATAGACTAATTCTACTCATCACCCAGCTTTGGTTTGGCAGATTGTCATGTGAGAGGGAACAAACAGTGGAGCTATTTTCCCAGGCTTTACCACTTATTTCCTCTCAGACACTACCTGTGGCAACATCACACAGTCATTCTGAGCATGAGGAAACCGAATTCCTCTAGAAGGTTTCTGAAAGGCCTGGGAATGTGGGATTATTTCTTGAGTACTGAGGTCTTCCTTAAATCACAGACAGACTCACAAGAAAGGAAATACAATCTATATGGATGAAACAGGGAAAAGCCGTGGGTATCATACCTATGGTATTCAGTAGGTGTGATTTTTGTGTTTCTGTAACTTATATTTCCTTGCTAGTTTTCCAGAACCTTTTGGGTGTGAGTGAGGGGACTGAGATGAAGAAGTGGTGACAGGATGTTGTTGTAGGTGGCTCTGGTGGGAAGTGATGCATTGCTGCTGATGGATATACATGTGGCTAAGCCTTGGAGAAGGATTCTCCACCTTCCAGTCATGGTTGACCTTTCTGCCCTTTCTCTCTACTGATAACCAAGCCCAACAACCCTGATAAAACCAGCAAAGAAGACTATACTCTTGATCCCTGACATTAAGCTCTGACCCTAAGACCAGCTGTGTAGATTTTGGACAGGACCTATGCTTAACCGAAAATGCAGGACTGAC